AAGCTGGTTTTCGCAACAAGAACTAATATGGTTAATGCCTGCAATAAAAGAAAGCTCTATTCCCTGTGCCAATTGGAGAGATATTATCCACTGTTGTGGAGAAACCAGAATAATCTCTGTAGATCTTAACAGATAAAAAAAGTCAGGAAGTCAGAAGTTAGTTTTTACTAGTATCTGTTTTAAAGTTCATTAATAGATACTGTAAAAAATTATATACGCCAGGTATTGGGAAGATCTGTTTCTCAAGTTTTGCTGCCTACTTTACCAGTAGCATTTCAGTCATTTAGATTTTTCAGTCTAAATTTTCCACGTGTCCTTTAATAAGATCATTTGCTTGAACTTTGACTGCCAGAGTGTTCTGTGCCAGATTCAGGAAGAGAGTAGAACTGGAAAGATTTGATTGTGTTCTTGATTTGCTGCAGACTTTCTATTAAACCTAAAATGTAGTGATGAGAAGCACAGCACTATGCTTCAAAGGGATACTGGGAGGCAAAACTTGCCACAGTTTGAAAGAAGCTTCAGCCTAGCCACAGAGCAGTGCAGGAATACACAATGTGGTTGTGATGATGATATCTGTATTGTCATGCTTTTATTTTTGTTTTGTTTTTTTTGTTGTACAGATCAAGTTTGGATGACTACTGCCCTTCAGAGCAGGTTGACATCATTCAAGAGAAGGTTCTCACTTTACTACATTCGGTGTATGGCTCACTGGATGTGCACTTAGAATACTCAAGCTCTTCATCTTCTTAATGACTTTTCTTCATGTGTTGCTGTCTAATGCAGAGGATTAATTTGAATTGTTCATTAGCTGTGATTGCAAAGGGAGGACTGCTGTTATTTCAGCAGGTGGCACTAGAACCCAGGCTGACCCAGCTCAGGTTTGAGTTGCATTGTTTTCTCCAAGTCAGCTGCATCTGAACTGACTGTTACGTGTTTGGCTTTGTTCAGATTAGTGCTGTAATTACTGTTTTTACTGTCTTGTTTCTTAAAATTGATGCAAAAGAAATTACTGTGTCTATAAATTGAGGGGTTTTGTCTCATTTCTTTGTGTCTGTAAAAAATTATATATATAATTTCTTAAAATGCTTTCCTATGATGTATTTTTGTAATTTAGTAACAGATTTGCTCCTGAGTTGTATTTTATATCTTTTAAAAACTGGTCTTAAAAATGCCCTTAAAACTGTAGTTCTGTGGAGTGATCTTTCCTATCTGTTGTGCTTGAGATGACCCTCTCATTTCTCGAGAGAACCTCATGGCTTCTGCCCCATCCACAGAATATAATTTGTGTTTATTTTCTATTTCTCTAATATTGTCTTATTTTGCCTCAGAGTATTTTACTGGTGGCTTAGGTAATATCCCTAATGTACAGATATTTGGCTTGGTATTTTCACTTCTAGATAATTTTGAGGATAAAAAGTATGTGTGCATGTGCATGCTTTAATGTTTTAAATCCTGTAAGGAATTGATGGCTTCTTCAGAAACAAAGATTTTGTTTCACTGAAGTCAGCAGCAAAACATCCTGTACCAGGTTTTACCTCATTTCAGTATTGCTATTTAGGAAAGAACAGTTTTAGAACTATTTCATTTAGAAATCAATATAATTATAGAGAAAACCAGCACTTTCAGAGGAAAAAAACCCACAGGATTTATTGGAAATGAAACTGAAACAGGAAAGAGAAAATTCCACCTAGAATATTGTCTTTTATTAGGAATAAATTTTGCTTGTAATTTCTTCTGAAATAATGGAGTTCATTTGCTAACTTTACTGTTTGCTTTACAGAGACTTTGCGCACTTTCACGGTTTTTACTCCTTCTGCTGTTGATATAAATGACAATATTATAGATGGTAAATATATCATTCCTTTAAAATATTTGTTCCCATAGAATAAATTCCATGACCATGGATCTGTTTTATTTGCTTTTTTGTGATGTGTCTGTCACAAAGATGTGCTTAGCCTTGGAGCCAATTTCCTTAATACTTCATAAATTATAAACAGCCATACACTGCATACAGCAATGAAGTGCAGTCAGATTATGTGCTGCTTGTGTAAAGACTGGGGATTTCTAAAGTTGAAGATCCTTAGTGCTGGGCTTTGCATAAGGTTGTAGGAAACAAAAAAAAAACTTGTGGGGTATGGCTGAGCCTGTTTTCCTTGGGGAAAGCTTGGACAAGGGAGGGCAAAACGCTGCCTGTCGTCAGGGCTGAGGGATCCAAGTGGGGGAACTTAAGTATGGGCCAAACTCAATAGTGCCTGCATTTCTGCCTGGGTGCTGCTCTGGAGTGCCTTGTTTGGTGGGGTAAGAAAATTAAGTTTGCTTCTTTGCATTTTATCTGTGGTCTTGTGGTCGTTCCTGTGCCCTGTCCATGCTGGCTCATGCACGTGTGTTCACCATGGTTCTGCAGAATCAAAGTAACATCCTAAATTGTCTATTTGTTAACCAAGTTATTAAGAAATCTTCCTTTCAAGTGTAGTTTTTATGAGTGTCTAATTGTTATCATCTGAAGTCTCTGACTAACACAGGCTGTGTATATGCCAAAAAATGCCAGTATCACATAATAACAGATGTTAATTTCTGCATTAAGTACATTTGCAAGGTTGTTTTTTACTTTGGTGAAAAGTAATCAAGTCAAGCCAGAAACAGGTGTCTCTTATTTCTTGCTTTGCCCTATATGGCTTATTTATTAACCAGATGCACAAATCCTCCATTCCCCATGTCTGCCTCATTTTCCTCTCAGCTTATTTCTGTATGTATTATGCAGAACAAGACAGTGAAATTGCAATGCATAACTCCTCCAATCAGTGCTGCAAGGATGGGACATGAAGGCCCATTAAAAATAAATCCACATTAAGGTATTGGCATAACAGCACCATTTAAGTCAGCAGCTTCATACTGTCTCTTGTGCCTAGATGCCTCTGCTGCCTCTGCTCCTCCCTTCGGCAGCACAGAGGAGTAAGGATGCCCATTTTGGAGGGCATTTGCAGATATTCCTCAGTGATAGACTTAGTTCTGTTGTAATTGTAGCTCAGCTTCCAAGATGGACCATCAACCTGAGCATTTTGATATAAACAGTAAAACTACCACACATTTGCATGCAGAATGAAATAGGGCCTTAAAACAGATATGCTGAGCAGCCTCTGTCTTCCCTGTACATCATCAGCTCTGCACCCCAGCCACTCTGTGGATTCCCAGCTTGTCACTGTGGAACAAAATGAGCTTTTCCAAGAAGAATGAACAGGGGATGAGTCAGATGGTGGAGGTTACTGTGTTCTCTGCTACCATTTCTTCCCTTCCTTGAGGCTTCTGTCTCTGTCTGTGGTCTGTCCCTTCCTGTCTGCTGGCAATGATGCTGTGAGTCAGTCACCCTAGAGTTGGTCAGAGCTGGACTGTGGGTGCTGAAGAGTGAACTCCATAAGTATTTTATTTTTGCTGCTACTGAGGAAGAAGATAATTCTCCAGCAAGATTAGTCTTGAGGAAAGAGACCCTTCCCTGGAGGGATTTAAAAGATCTGCATATGTGGCACTTAGGGTTATGGTTTAGTGGTGAACTTGGCAGTGCTGGGTTAATGATTTGACTCAATTTTCCTGGAGGTATTTTCCAACTGAAACAGTTCTATAATTATTTCTGGGAGACCCAGAATATGGGTCCTTTCTCCTTATGCATCCAAGGAACAGCACTGGAAGCTCCCCTTCTGTCCCCTTCTGTCTGATGGCCCCTGTTGTCCCCATCCGTGCCACAAACCCTTTGTAAGTCCCAACCATTCCCAGGAGGAAGGATAAAAGACATCAGTTTTTTGCCTCCAGCTTTCAGTGTCTCCTGCAAGAGGAAATCCTCTGTCACCACAGCAGAGGTGCAGCTCCCACACCCCAGTGTAGATAGCAAGTCAGGGACCCAGCAAAGTCCCAGCTTCAGTTTGGGCACAGATTCCCTCACTGTCAGCAGGTTCAGCCACAGACCAGTCCTGCAAGAGAGGCAGTCTGGCTTAGGTCTACAGTGACCCCAAGGGAAAATCATATTAGACCCCCAAAAGTATTTTAATTCCTTACTTGTCCTTGAGGCTGTGGACCGCTGTCTGCCCTGCTTCTCTGTCACAAGCACAGCTCTGGAAGGTGCTTCCTTCACTGGTGCTTACATCTCTGCAGGCTTAAAAGGACTCCTACCTCCCCCCTCTCTCAGATAAGGGAGCTCTCATCTGCAAAGGAAAGCTTTACTCTCTAGAGTCCTAAGCATTCAAGTGGCTCTGGTCTGAATTTTTGTCTGGTTTTACCACTGGTGTAGTGGTTGGGTATTATTTTTACAGTTTTATTGCAATTTCCTTTGAGCATGAATAATTTCAAACAGGGATACCCTATCGAGGAAGAAGCTGTCTCACTGGAGAGAGACAAATCATTCCAGCCTTCCCTTGCTAAATGCTAATTACGTATTTTCAGCAGCTTCCATGAATGTCTTGATGGTTTTGCATATCTTCTACCACAGGGGATTGCTCTGTCTGCTGGGCTGCATTCTTACGGATTTCAGGCCTTTAGCAGAGTTGTTAGCATATTTTTACTCAAGGTCCTTGGCAAAACAAATAAATACTAATTTGTGTGTTTCTTTCACTGCTTTACAGAATTAGGTCCATTATTGCAAACTTAAGG